TTCAAAAGCTTTTTCTAATATTTAATTACACATTTTTCAAAATATCACTATTGAAATTTTTTTTTTTTTTTTTTTTTTGAAACTTGGACTAAATTGTGATTGTCTTGAGATACATATTGAAGATTCTTTTGACATTGGAAATTGAGGGGCAGACTAACCAGAAAGAGTTGACCCTTGAAAATTATATATACCTGGATTCAGCCACCACTCACTCTCTCTCTGACATGACATTCCATCCGATAACGACTTTGACTATTCTCATCCATATAATTTTTTCAAATGTGCTACAAGTACACTATTTACCACAATTTTCCCTCCCACATGTACGAATGGCGTCAACGATTAAAATAATTACGAACCCCACCATTTGTGAGAGAGCTGTAAACATGTACAACACTTGTAAATATATCATTTTCCTAATTTTTTGGTATTACCAAAAAATTGCACCAATTTTTTAGGTCTCGTTTGTTTCTCATTTTTACAAAAATGAGAATGAAAAATATAGTCGTTATGGGCCCCACACAAGATATAGAAATTCAAATTTGATGGCTTGATGTAATGGATAACGTATTTTTCATTTTAATGAAAAAAAAATGAGAAACAAACAGGGGTTTAATATATTCGCTCAGCTTCATGCATGCTTGGCAAAGTTTATAATTATTCATAAGCTAATATTTATCACACATTTTATTTGATCCATAACTTTTATTCACTTATTATCTACACATTTGTAAGAGTCGCAGCTAATAATTTATAAAAGTTTCGCCAAGCATGCTCTTCGTTTTCGACCTATTTTTATGATAGTATTATTCTAAGTATGTTAGTTTTGTAGTGTCGTTAATATTGAATCTTGAAGTTCTATTTTAAAATTTTTAATCTTGATAACCTTTTATGTTGACAATTATTTTCGTTTTGTAGAATTAAAACCTTGACATGACTCGGCAAGCTAGATGCTAATTTGGAGAATACCAATTTTGACATCTCTTTGCTTGTTTGAGCTACACGGAATAAATAAATAGTGAGCATTTCAAACTTTGATTCCTTATTTAATACTGGAATTTCTTAAGAAGAGTAGTTCAAACCTCTTATATCCTATAATATTATTTTCATTCCGACCATTAAGGACTGACGACGCTACAAACTAATATATTGAAAAAGATGCTGATAAATATAATAAGTTCGATGGATTAATGGTGTGGATAAAAAGTTGAGCAAAACAAAGTCATTTTTGTTTAGAACAATCCCTGCTTGATCGCCATTATTTGGTCAAAATAATATTTTGAATAGTGAATTTTAGAAGAATCTGTGGTTAAAAAGTTGAAAAAAAAAATTAAAAACGGAAAAAAAAAGATCTTAAAAGTTTTAAGAAATAAAAATGAAATTAATACAAATATAAAATATTCAATATATCCCTAAACCGAAAACGATCCAACAGTTTTCTGTAGTGGGAAAGGCAAATAGGCCATCACATTGTTTGTTTTAGCTACGAGTTATTGAAACAAAATTTGAATTTAAATCAATCGGAATGTAATTAAGGAAGCAAAAGTGGATTTGAATATATCAATTTACATCCAATTTTACAATACGATTAGAGATACTCCAATGATTCAATTAACTTGCAGATATAAACTGTTTTTCATTTGTTGTACAGTACAAAACTGCAGCTGATTTCTCTGTCATTAACATTAATTAATCATTTATTAGTTAGTTAGTTGGCACACAAAGTTTTAGATTCTCCCATTTTTTCTTGTATATTAAAATAAAATAATAATTTATTTTATTTTTATTTATTTTTAATAATTTTCGATTAGTTTCCAAGCATTGTTCGGGCTGCCCACACCACCGCAAGTGTTCCAATTAATATGAAAATGGCAAATATAAATCAAATCTCTATACATAAATACTACAGCATGACAATTTTATATGTTTATTACCCCTATTTTGATTTTTATACAATATGGGTTTGTAGCTACGGCCTTTTTCCGATAGATATAAATACACCCATATATTCGGATACTTGATTTGACGTTACATTTATAACATCTTAAAAGCAACTTGTAATAACCAAACAAGAAACACTGTATGAGTCTGGCTACAGCCGGCCAACTCTTAAGGCCACCATCATGTATTTAGACCTATTGGCCATTGCACTATCTGAGATATTCTTGATTTTAGTACAATTTCATCATTTTCTTTTTCCCAACTACCAGAAAACAAATTACAACGTTAATTAATATCAAATTATTGAAAGCAAATGTCTTCCAGAAGGACCCAACTCCTTGTGTTTAATGCTAAAGGGATCAGACCGATTGATTGCGATAATTTACATGTATTGTTGCATCAAGTGTTTGAAAACTGGAAAATTGTCAATTTTTCATCGAAAATTGTCAATCGAGAAAGTCAGAGAAGTGTTTCAAGACGTGTTACTGTGTCACTTTCTTCGAAAGATTATTTACCTTGCACCATATTTCCACAAGCTGTAGCAATCTAAATCTATTTACTTGAGATTGAATTTCTCAACAAAGATTTTCAAGAAATGGACTTTTACGTGTAGGCCTCCTTTGTTTTTGGTCTATGTGGCAATGGTGAAGAGTAGTAATGCATTCATTGAAATTTTCCAATTTTTTTTTTTTTCGAGTTCCTTAAAAATGGATTCGAAAAAAGAGGTTCGTTCCTGTAAATGCCTTTTTGGATATTCTTTAATGTCTCAACTATTCACAGAACGTGAGAAGCGGAGTCATCTGCTTTCGGAAGAAATCGAAGAATTTCTTTACAAAGCTTTGCTTCTTCTAGTTGGCCTGTGGAGAGGAGAAGGCGGAGAAGAAAATGTCTTTTGCACATCAAATTGTTTTTTTTTTTTGGCAAGTTAGCAAGATGGAATATATATCTCATATTCGGTATCCTCATTTAATATCTAAAAAGAAAAAGGTCAAAGCGACCGTAAGGAATGACGCATTCGAAAGGCCAATCACTCAAGAAAGCTAGCAATACAACTAGCTAGGCCCTTGTATGATAGGCAACTATGCGGTTTGGCTAGTATGGTCCATGTGCCGTTTTTCTTTTCTATCCGCCTCTTCTTCGATCCGGAATTCCCAGTACCCACATCCGATCGAAGTTCCATTTTAGTGCCCCCAGGGTTGACCAATCAATGTGTCTTAGTGTTCAAAAGTCCTTTCCCCGATAAAGAAGCAGTTGATTTTGACCAATTCTCGATGCCATTGAATAGGAAATTAGGGCCATTTTGGAGAGCATTTACACTATACTTGGCCCCTTTTTTCATGAAAAATGAGTTTTTTAATAATAATTTTTGAAGAATGTATTATTAAAAAGTAAGAAATGTAAAATCATCAAACCAATTAACATTTGGAGAGTCTTTCTCTTATGTAGTCCTCAACCTTCAAAATAAAGGTCTACGTCTCCAAACTTTCCAAATCACTGAATTTGAGTTCAATAAAAAATCGCAACTTTTCAGTTGAAGATTGATAACAAATGTTAATTGGTTTGACGATTTTACCTTCCAACTTGAAGTCACGTGGATAACTTTCACGTTGATGGATTCAATTTTGTAGTGATCCAAAAGTACTTATTACACCTAGATAATTAGGTATATTTTTTTCCAAAAGTACTTATTACACCTAGGTAATCTTTTTTGAAGGATAAAAATGGATTATCCCTACTCTATAGATATACAATACTATTTGTGTTCCCTAATTGACAAGGAAAAACTATTAGGAACTATACAAGAATATTGTCCCATTATATGCACTTGGAGAATATCCTATATGCATATGGTCTTCCTTGAACCTCTGAATTAGTAACATCATGTAACTTAATCATGAACAGCATAGCTTCATTGGTCGAACTGTGGCTGTGTAAGTTTCCAAAAAGCGTTCAAAGATCATTGTAACAGATATTCGTAACTAAGCCCCCGTTTGGTGCACATTATTTGGGAAAATAATACATTTTTCCATCAAATCAGCCTACAATATTTGACTTCAACACTTTAAGGTAGGATCCATGATGTGATGTTTAAAATGCATTTTTGTTGGAAAAATGTGGAACAAATGACCCCTAACTCGTGTCAATAGTTGATTCCGATAATGATGCCAATTCAAGTTCAACAAGTCCCTTTTCTACGTAATATTGCGAAAAATATATTCACTATGATGATAAATATCATTCTAGCATGCTCCTATGTCACATTATTCTTAGAAGTTGCAACAACATGAAAGTATATTAAAAGAGGTTGTACAACTAAGAAGTAGGGAAAACTCATTACGTATTCGTATTTGATGCATATCCAAGTTTGGATACTCTCTGATACCCTTAGATATGTATCAAATACATGTTTTTTTTAATCATTTTATATGTTTCTATATTTTTTTAAATTTTCGATATGCATCAAGTATGCATTCTTTAATTATTTTCATACATATCCTACACATATCGAATATGTATTTTTTTAATTCTTAAATAACTTGTTGAATATTAATAGAAAATACACAATTAGTTTATCGAGAAAATTAAATATCTGTTTTAAAGAATAATCCAAAATGTGAAATATTATCGAAAACTCCTTTGACACTCTTGAAAGTGTTGAATTGTTTGAAGTGGCTAATGTAGATGAGCAATAGTTAGATAATATTATTTTGATGATACTAAAGAAGCTAACATTGACGACGTTCAAGAAAATTGAAATTTTAACAATTGAGGAATAAGTTAATATGTTTTAGTATTTTATCTTATTTTTATTATTATGCTTCTGTTTTAATTTTTATATTAATAAAATTATGTTGATTTATAACACGTATCCGCATGCCCTCGTTTTTCTAAAAAATCGTATCATCATACCCAAAATCATATCATATTCGAATTACATATCCGTATACGTGCTTCTTAGCTGTACATGATACGACTTCTTTAGGGCACGTGGTATATATACATACAAAATAATGTGCAGCAGAGTTGTATAGGCATGTATGTGGCCTTTCTCAAATAGCTGAACAACTTGAATGAAACCAGGATTGTAAATTCTGGATCCTCAAGGTTGAATAAGAGATTATTATGTTGATCACAAGTACATGATGTCAATGGAATAAAATTGTTCACTGATCAGACGTCACGTTAAGCAAAATATATTGAAGACTATTTCTATACATATGTGTAGCTTTGTAATTTCTGCTGCTATAAACAATTTATTTTCAGCATACTAACATTACATCTTCCTTTCTTTAACTTGGTCTTCGAGTAAACTGACAAGTTGCTTTTTCAACTGTTGTTTTACTTCATAATTAGAAGCCAATTTCCTAACCAAATTCTCTTTCATAATAAGAAGTTCAGATTTTTTATTTTCGGCCGCTGCTATCTCAGAATTATTTGGACAGATAAGGTTGCCTTGAAGTTCTGAGAAACTGGACTTGAGCTGAAACAAGAATCAAGCATCAAAATGACAGGCAAGTATTCAATAAATTTCTTATAGTTCGTATTACAGGAGATTGCTTCTCTCCCTTTATGAAGATCAAGGGAGTTTGATGTTGCCGTATTAAGTGAAAGGTCAAGCTAAAGGGCCCCAGTGAAGGTGCCTTATCAAGAAGGACTTACCAATAATTTTATTATTGGACAAGCGAAAATGTTACAAGTTAATCCGCGACAAAATATGAATTCTTTGGGAGTTCATAAAAATCTAATGGAACATGCTACATCATATTGGCAACACTGAATCTCTCAGTTACAATTATGCAATTTTGTTAAGCTAAGTAGGGATAGGTCTTGGTTTCACCAAATCAACCACAACTCTTAACGGTGATGGTAGATATATTCCACTACGAAGTGACTTATTCAAAATGAATTTTCAGATTTTGCTTCATATTTTAAAACAAATGAAGATGAAAAGAATGCTCAGTTTCCCTTACCTCTTTAACCCGGCTCCTCAGTTTCTTTACCTGGACTTGACATTCATCCACAAAGTTGTCCACTTGGGCCTTGAATTCTTCCATTTCACAACTTTGTGAGCTATAATAGCTCTCTTTCTGTTTTTCCAACTCCTCCAATCCTTCCACCTCTTTTTTCAAAGTCCTAAAATAAAGAGCTTACAGCATCACCTAGCAACACTAAGCAATTCTCTCACAAGTATATGAAGTCTGGGGATCAATATTTTTAGAGCAAAATATTACTCTTGAAAACAGAATTCAGTACATACACCTTGCTAAGCATTTAAAAAGGTTTAGTCTGGTACTAAGACATTTTTACTCTATGAAGTGAGGGAAGTACCCCTCAAAACAAACTACTAAATTAATTTTAAAATCGTGGAAGTACAAGGATTTGCTCATAACAAAAAATGAGAAGATAAACGAGCACCCCCCTCATCTGCATTGAGGCTTAGCATTGAAGCAAGTCTCGATACAGGCATAAGCTAAGATGCACTGACACGGACACATGTCGGATACGTCGACACGTGATTTTTCAAAAAGTACTGACACGACACATTACTAACACGTCAATTAAATATTTAAAATTCTTCATTTATATATTATAAATTTAGTTTTATACTTCTTTTTAATTTTTCTTGTTTAAATCGTTTAAATATGAGTATATATTTGTTATTTGTTAATAAATTTTAGTTAAAAATGTCCAAGGAGTGTCGGAGACTGACACGCTATCTTAGTTTAAGTGTCCGTGCAAAAAGGGCATAAGCCTTGTCAAATGGCACACTTCGAGATGATCAATGAAAGGTGTGCCTCAAGGCATCCCTTACACTACTATTCAAGACAACGCTGCAAACTACTATTGTGGCAGATTCTTGCTAACTAAAATGGGGAAGCCAAACTTACATTCAGTTATCAACATACAATCTGGACCTAAATCATTATCATTGAAATTTAAAAATTTACATTTGTTCATTTGGACTTTGCCCGAACTCATAATTGGCTTCTTTAATAAACAATCCTTTCAATTCGCAGTGAAAAATAAGCTCTATTATTGAAGGGGAAAAAGAGGAATTCATGCACAGGCTTACTCGAGAGCTTCTGTTCAGATAATCAATTCACATTCAAAGAGGAAAACAAAAGCCCACATTCCTCAATTCCCCAAGGCAAATAATCACAAAATCACATGATAATCATTTCAGGATAAACAACAAAATTAGAAATCCTAAAAATACAATTAATTTAGAAATTAAATGTATGGTAACAAACGAATACCTAAATTTTTGGAGATTACGAAGGTAAGCAGAGTCAAGGCTATCGATTTGAGACTTGAGAGAAGAAATGACGAAGTGTTGGTGAGCGATTTTACAGTCGAGTTTTAGGCATCGCTGTTCCATGGATCTGATGTTGGCTATATTTGCAGCTAATAACTGAGATTTACTCTTCTGAAGCTCTTTCTCTGCCTGTAAAAAAAATTGCAAAATTTGAAATTGAATCAATAGCAGAAAATTTTCAAAATTTCCAAATTACAACAGAAGTATAAAGGGAAAGGAGTGAACCAAACCTGAAGGAGAGAGAGGCGTTGGATTCTTGTCTGCTCCATCTGTTCCAGCCTTTCACGGAATGCTGAAGGAAGCGCCATTGCAGCACCGGAGGGACAGAGAGAGCCAGTGAGAATTTAAAAATATATGCTATTCATCGCAATTAATTGCTCCTACGGTCACTGTCCATGTTTTTTATTCATCCCTCAGGTTTAAAATATCGAATTTTCGTCATTGAATTTAGATCCATATTTTCGATTGCTCAACAAAGTTTAAAATGTCGAATTTTGACCACAGAATTTTAGAAAATGATGTAAGTTACTCACTAGCATAATTGCTGAACTTTGGAAAATATCGAATTTATAGTGAATAATGTGCAACATTTTTTAAAGTTCACTGATCAAAACTCGACATTTTCTACTTTAGTGAGTAATTAAAGACATGAATTTAAGTTCAGTGATCAAAATTCGACATTTTAAAACTTTAGTGATCAATCAAAGACATGAACCTAAATTAAATGACCATGGAACAATTAACTCCTATTCATCGTCACTTAATAAGGAAAAATAGCAGCAGAGATCCCTAAGATTGGATATGTTTGCACTTTGGCCTCCAACCTTCAAACAGTAGCATTTGAGTCTACATTTTATTTTGATGGTACTTTTATTCCTAGTGGACGATTTACATATATCATGAGGATAGTTATAATCACGCCACAGTTTTGTTAATTACACTACATCATAAGGAACCTAAAGTTCTCAATTTTTATCTTCGTAGCACTTATATACTTATTTTTTTTGAGACACATTCTTATTCACAACCTTTCATTAATTAATAGATTTCGCATTTGATAATAGTTTCGATTCAAAAAGTTTGATGGCAGGGCATAAAATGATTTAATTACCCATCGTATTTTTGAAAGACAACAAATGTGAAAATGCAACAAAAGTATTTGTCGTCATTTCAAAGCACGAAAATATAATATTTTATAGTTACCATCGTCAAGGACAAGATATGGACGGAATAACGAATTACAAAGTTTAGTAATTAATGAGATAAATTTAAAGTTCAGTGATGATTCAAGTAATTAACCTAAAATACACTAATCGTACAAATCAAAATAAGGATAATAGACAGGGTAAAATTTTCATATTTTCCACTCTAATAGTACATCTTGTTTAGGAATTTCTAAAGTTCGAAATTAAAGTTTTCAAAAGGAGCAAATTTAGTCCAAAATTAGGAACTAGTTTTTCATCTGGGTTGTATTCCTTACCTTCAGGAGATTAGCTAGTTTAGTCCTTGACATGATCATTATTGGCATACCTCTCGAGAAGTACTACCCAAGGACTCGTATATGCTAGCTCAACATAGATAAGTTATGGAGTCCTCAGGGTATGATGTGTCCTCGAGACAATGCTCAAAGACTATTATCATACTTCCACGATATTTGGGCGATGACATGCACGAGGTAAGTCCTAGGGATACCTTTTACCACCCAAGAAATATGTGTTCTTGAGCACTTTCCTTTGCTTAATTTCAAAGACCTTATTTTTTAAACCCAAAAGGATTCTACTCTCTGATGACCCTAATCTCACCCAAACTTCTCAATCCAAGACTCATATACCAAGGAAGAGTCCATCTCAACAATATTGCTATTAAACTATGATTGGCCTTGCAATTATAGCACAAGTCCAATATCCCTCTCAAGTAGGACTCTTTAAGATAAGAATATTCAACTAATTCAGTCATACCAAGAGTGTAATACCAGACTCTATTAATATAAATATGCAATTCATTATTCAGGAACGCTTTTACATCATTTTCAGTCAAAATCTCACACATAAATTCTCTCTCTAACTTAATCATCGAAGTGGTGATGAGGATACGCCTCGACACCTTGGTTTCAGGTACCGAAAGATCTTGTTCGTGCCCATTCTAAGTCATCAAGCTCAAAAATCAATAAGTATGATTTTTTGTAGCATCATTGGCGCCGTCTGTAGGAACCACTACCAAAAATCATAGTTAATACACGTTCAGATTTTCCTCCAGCAATCTCATCTGCTCCAAACCCTCTTCTTCTTGAAGATCTCCTTGTTTCTGAAGAAGAGTTATAAAAAATACAAGCAGTTTGTTTCTGCTAGAACCTTTGAAGAGTTCAGCCAACAAGTTGCCACGTTAACTTAATTGTTGAGTAAAAGGAATTCGCATCCATTGCCTGCACTAACGCCATCAGGATTTCATGGTCGATGTTCGAGTTCGAGGCCCTTGTCCTCTTCCTGACATTGATGGAACTAGACCTTGGGCATACCTTACATAGCCTCGGCCTCGAGATCAATCAACTTACAACATCATTCAAGATGGCATTACGGCGGGCCTGCTTCGAAATACCCAATGATCAACATGGTTCATCCCTAATACTCCATTCACTTTCAAAATACTATCATATCCCTTATCAGATAGATTCAAGTATCCTCATATAAAAGAGTACGACAGGACTACCAACCGAATCAACTATCTTAAATGTATATTCCGACGTCATGAATTTGCAAGTTGCACCAAATACGGTCATGTGTAATGCTTCTTCGCAAACTCAAACTAATGCTACCTAGAATTTTATCACAGCAGTTATCTCTATCCTCACCTTCCCATAAGGTGTGAGGCATTTAAAATATCCTTGTCAAAAACTTTGCCAAAATTAGTGACTGGTCTCCTGACCTGAGGTGAAAAATACATTAACATGGAGATAACATTAAATCTAAGGAAAATTGGCCTGACCTATAAACAGATCAAGCTTAATGTTATTCATGACAAACGCTTGAGGAATGATCATGGTAAGGGAAAAGTCCCTGAGGCTAGAGGCAACGGTCAACCTATAGTAGGAATCATTAATATTATTATCGTTGGTATAGTATCAGGAGGAGACTCAAACGGTAGATGTAAGTAGTATGCTTGACAATATACCTTGGCTTCAAGAATAACTTATAATAACATTGAAGACATTACATTTAGGTCAAAGGACTTAGAAGGTATATCACCTCTTCATGATGATGCCTTGGTCATTTCGATGAATATGGTTAACTTTAAAATGAAAAGGATCTTGATTGATAATGGAAGTATAGCCAACATTCTTTCTTATGAGGTCTTTATTAAGGTTAGAATTTCGACAGTACAACTCAAAGAAGTTAAAACTCTTCTTCAAGGATTTGGTGGTGGAGTCATCATCGCGAAAGGGGTTACCGAACTTCCTTTACCCTTGAGTTCTAACTAGAGACATATGATAGAAATTACATATTTCCAAATAGTTGTGCTTCGATGGCTTACACCGCCATCCTGGAAAGACCATTGCTCAATAATATCAAGGCTATTATTATATCAAGATTCCACTTTGCTATGAAATTTCTTTTAAGTAATGGCGTAGGGTTTATACGTATAGACCATACAACTACTAGATAGAGTTATGTTACTAGCGTTCAGGCAATAAACACTGATGTCACACAACTTTCAACGTTTGAGCTCGAGTAATGATGGAGACTTGCTCCAGTGGAAGAACTAATAGAGGTCGAGCTCAAGCATGGAAAAAAATGACAATTGGTCGGGATCTCAACATCACTCTCATGGTTGAACTTATTAGCTCATTTTCTTGTAATATTGATATTTTCGCAAAGAGGGTTGATGATATGCCTGGGATAGATCCTAAGGTTGCAGTCTGCAAACTCAATGTTAGCCCAAGGTCTGAACCGGTCAAACAGAGGAAGTGACAGTTTACACCAGAGTATTGGAAGGTCCTTTGTGGTACACTCATTAGTGATGAGTCTATTCGGAAAGTTCAGTATCCCAATTGGCTTGCCAATGTTGTTCTTGTAAAAAAGGCCAACGGCAAATGAAAAGTTTTTATTGACTTTATAGAACTTAACAAGGCATGTCCTAAGGGCAACTATTCTCTATCTCAGATTGACAACCTCGTGGATTAAGGATGGCAATGGTTCGGTTCAGTTAAAACCATCACTGAACCGTCAATTTTTTTGTCATACCATAACCACACCATAGCCATGTAAATCGGTTCAGTTTGGTTCGATTCGGTTTGTATCTCGGTTCGGCTCGATTCGATTCGATTAATAACTGCGAAAATAAATTATTTTTTATAGGTTCATCCGTCAAATTGATATAAAACAATTTATAAAAAGAGAGACAATGAAAATAAAAACACAATATTCCAAATGAAAATGCAAACATTATCCCAAATTTAAATTACAAAATACAAATTTAACAAACAATATTATGAATATAACAATACTAAACTTTTCTTTCATTCTTGATTCTTGTGCATTGTAGTTACTTGATTCATGTTCAATAATTCAAAAGTTTCAACCTTAACTCATATTCAATCTTCATTCTTCCCCACAACTCTTATTAGCATAGGTCAACAATCAAAATTGATTCCTATATAGTAAATAAGAAATGTAAGTAGAGAATACAACGAGATTACCTAATTTAGAATGGTTTTAACTAAGATAAAAAAATGTACCTATTCGTCAACTTCCTCCTCACTAAACCTTGTCATCCCTAATAAAAGAATGATTTTATAAGAAGGGTAATCGGTTTGGTTTCGATTCGACGGCATAAATACCATATCCGCACCACCACAAATCGGTTAATTAAAATCAAATATCATATCCGCTCCATTTCACCATCGGTTTGGTTTTTCGCCCCATTCGATTCAGTTAACCGCGATTTCGATTTTAACGGTTCAAATTGTCATCCCTATCGTGATAATACATTGGAACATAAGTTATAAGCTTCCTTAACGCATTTTATGGCTATCATCAAATCCTTAAACTGAGGAAAACCAATAGAAGACATCCTTCATGGCTGACTCCACCATATATATTGTTACATGGTCATGTCTTTTAGTTTAAAGAATGCAGGGACAACATATCAAATATTCATCAACAAAATATTCACTAATTTGATTGAAAAAAATATTGAGACCTATGTTGATAACATAGTAGTCGAGAGCAAACAGGTGGACCAGCATATTTCTGACCTTGAAGAGGAAATTCACGACGCTTAGAAAGTACAAGATAAAATTAAATTGTCAAAATGTGCATTTGAGGTAGCTTCGAGAAATTTCTTGAGCTTCATGATTACGCACA